AGTTTTTAAATAGAGGCTGCTCTGATCAACAGTCGCATAATATTGGGGTATCTGTAGTGTGGTGCCATGTTGCACATGAGTACTGGGTAGGTGTCCCTGCATGTATTTCTGGTGGGCAACCCTGAAAAGTCACATTATGCTCTGCTCTCACAATAGACAATAGATAGTGACAATTATGGTGGTCGTTTTCCTCTCTCTTCAAAAAATATCTCCTGGAAATCACAACAAAAAGAAATAAAACTGAACCAGCTAACAAAAAAACACCTACTCGACTCAATCTTTCTTTCTCCAATATTCATGGTATCCGTTCCAACTTCTGCAGCATAGAATCATTCCTCCTAGAATGATTGCCAGGTATCTTAGCTCTTTGTGAAACCAATTTAAATTCTTGGTTCCAGGGAATCTTCCCCTTTGCCAAAAAGATTCCAGTATTCATATGCATGGCCTTGATGTTTACATCCAGGATAATCTTCTGATGGTCAGAGAACTGTCTCTCAAGGCCGCTGACTATTCTTTCATGTGCTTCCATCTTTTGATACTCTACCAGAGTGACAGCTTTCATCATAACAGGACCCTATTTGCCACTGCTTGTAACAAATGTAAGCAAGTCTTCGAAGGACCTAAATCCCTGTTTGCTGAGAAAATGAAGCAATGCATTGCCTCTAAAAGCCTTGGCTCCTGTGATTACTGGTGTCTCTGTAATAGGGTACTAAATAAGTGCAAGGTCTCTATTTCCCCACCTTTTCAATCACTTTGAGGTGATATCATCCTCTGCTGATAAAGCTAAATGCTTTGCCCTCAAACTCTACTCTGGAGTATCCCTGCCTAACTTCCCACTTGTTCTCTGCTGAGTGATATACATATAACCCCTTTCCATGGTCTCTGCTGTCATCTCTAATCTTGATCCCCACAAAGCATGTGGATTTAATGGTATCCCTGTTAATAGTCATTAGGGAGTGTGCTCCCAAACTGGTTCCTGTTCTCTCTAAACTGTATAATAAATGCCTCATTGCCTTCTGCTTTCCTGCCTACTGGAAGCTGTTATTCTGTTTTTTTAGAACTCTGGTGAACAGTCCAACCCATTTAACTATCGGCCCATTAGCCTTCTACCCCTTTTTTGGAAAACTCCTACAGACTCTAATCAATGCTGAATTTGTTCAGCATCTCTCATCACAGAGTCTTTTCTCAAATATTATTGGTCCTGATCTGGTAGCTCAGCTTCAGTCACTTGCCTACCACTGTAAAATTGCCTCTCTGTGCCTTTTTTATAAATACTTTCATGGTAACTGTTCAGATGACCTAGATTATATGAATTTGAGTGCAATATTAGACTGGTGGCAAGATCACATCAATTTACAGTTGAGTTAGCTAGATGTAACCATAACTTCTATGCTAACAGTTTCTTTTCTCTCACTTGTGGAACTCCTTTCCAGCTCCATGCTTTCTAGCCAATTTTAATTTGCAAGAATTTAAATACAATGCCAATCATTATCTACTGCCTTCCTGAATGCTCTTTTCTCTTTCTACTCATTACTAATGTTTCTGTTCCTAATTCCTCCATACCCTGTAATCCCTGTGTGTTCATGGCTGTACTGCCTTGCTGGAGGTGACACTGATTAAAAAAATAAAAATAAAAACACCAAGCAGTATGGATATTACTAAATATATTTGTGATGTTGTTTTCATTACATGCTCACACAGACTGCTTTTCAAAGAAACTTCAAATGATTTGTGTCAAGAAAATTATGGCAAAAGTCTTCCCTTTTTTGAGTTTCTGTTATTCAAATTTTTAATATGATAAAAGTAAACCAATATCTTAGTTTTCAAACAATGATCTGAACAATTCCAGAATATTATGCAAGTGAGGCCTAATTAGTGGTTTAAGTAAATAGATGTTAACATTTTGGATGCAAACAACATAATTCCAATTGGGTTCCAATATATACCAACAGTAACAAAACTTCATTATGGGATTACCATTATGTCCAATAATGGCAAACATACACATGGAATACTTTGAGGAAACTGCTTCTGAAACATCTATATAAATAAAGCACAGTGTATGTGTGTCCATCCATCTGTCCATTTTTTTATGATGAATCAAACAATCTGAAGTAACAGGTAGTAACTACTGTAGTTACATGTGATTAAAAATTAAATTAATAACTCCGTTAAATTTAAATATCAAACAGAGTGAAAGGTTTAACTTTAATTCTGCTTTTCATTGCAATTGCAACTGATATCATCTAATTAAACCGTGATTAAAACTAAAGTGGGTCATGGTGCGTTGCTCATATGGTTTTTCTTTTTTAGTACACATACTGTGATGTATTCAAAATATTACATAGTTCAAGTTCTCTAATGTCTTTTAAATGTGACTATGTGAAGAGATCATAAAGAATGGGGAATTTAAAAGAAAATAAAAATTGCATGCAAAATAAATGTAAACAAACTATCGGTTGTGTATATGAAAAAAGATTATGCCGAATTAAGGTGTCAAATAAGGATAAAATAATTTTATTATTATTTCTAAATTGTTATAACTATTATGTACATAGGATGCTGAAGGTGAAAGCCTAAAGTTCACCTGAAGGGTGGTTTCTAGGCTTGTCATCAATAAAGCCAACCATGTGGTTAGAGAGATGACACCATCATACTCTGTCCAAACCAGGAAGATGTGCAAGGACTACTGAACCACATGAAATCAATATGGATTTCTATACAATACAAAATATAAAAGAAAGCATAAAATAAACTGACCCTCCTGAATTCACTAATGACTCATAGAACGTGGGTTCAAAATACTTGTATATTGTTAGCTAATATTCACTGGCTAATACCAAAACTTCAATTCTCACTATCCATACATCAAGAAAGGTATCATCCTCTGTCTGCGACATCAAGAATGACAACCCAAACATCAACATGATTTGATCAGCTTTCAAAACACCCTTAAAAGTAGCAGCTATCTTACAGTCATAACATCAGCTTTCACAAACAGTTACAGAAAGATCACGAACAATAATAAAAAAAAATCTGCTATCTCTTTACCATACAGAAAATTTTAAAATGATCTATTGTCCATACATCTGGAGGTTATTCAAAATCAGTTCAACCCTTTAGAGATAAGTCTACTGAATCAAGCCCCCACTCAAAAGAAAATATGACCCAAAACTACATATTATATCTCATGCATTTGTGGAAAGAAATAAAGTAAGAGTTGATGCTGTCATCCAGAGAGAAACATTGAAATCATGCATAGCTGATAATGTATGGATGGGAAAAGGAGGTTATTAATCTTTGTGGAATGAGGTCAAGATAATAGAGAACAACACTGTAGGACAAGACAGCTGAAAGAATCAACCCACATGTTAGTTTCTGACAAACCTCCTCAATAGATCTATCATCAAGATGAATACCATCTGGGGCCTTTGATTTAGAAAGAAAGAACACTCAAAAACATTCCACTACTCAAGTATACACATTAAGTTTAAGACTCCCAAGATTGTTCAAGTGACACTTGTCTGATTGGACCGTAGTCTTGGTGAACACATATCTGTTTTCCTAGCAGTTGTGAGTACAATCTCTAGGTCAGGTAGTGCAGAAATGTCATATACTGTGACTCTGCTTCAGTGGAAGCAATGAACAAGTGACGCAAAGAGGCAAATTTTATGAGTCTTCAGTTCAATATTCCAAGTGATTATTAATTACAATAGACACCTGAAGGTCTTAGGATACAACAGCCGAAACAGTGAATATTACAAGTTCCTCTTGCAGAACTGATATGGATTTTTCTGAATTGATTTTATTATTTCCCTACCCCATAACCAAAATATTCATGTTTAAGAATGGTTTGCAAGCAGTTCAAATACAAATTCATTTATTTACTGTTCCAAATATGAGAAACTGAGAACACATCTTTAAAATTTTAAAACACTCTGCCACCTCAAATGTCTTGTTTTTCCTGCTGAATATTGACAGATTCAAAAAGTGTCATTTTTTGACTGCGTTATCATAAAATCCCATCCTATACTGAAATTCTTGCTTTAATTTCTAAAAACACTCATATCTTGTTTTATCATGAGGTATTAAAATTTCTGTTTTTGTCAAATGTAGGCACCATTCTGATGGCTTAATTTACATTTAACAACATTTAGATTCCTTTTCTTCATTAGTGAATTAAAAGAGTAATTTTTAAAAAATTAAAATTGTTAGTGAAATACTGTTGTTTTATAATGGCTGAATCTGTTAGTGAATCAAAAATTTTGTTTCATAAGGGAGGGAACTCAGGTGATACTCAGTAAATGATTTTTTTTTTCAGAGGATAAAGCCAATTTCATTCTTAATGCTCAACAATAGTTTCTTCCAGCAATATTGCAGGTATGAAAATTAATAGCAGTAATGAAATGACCTGAGTTATTTTTATAAAAATCTTTTAGATCATATTTGTGAAAAAAGCCAAAGATTTGCTATTCAAATTAGAAAGACAGGTAAGTGTTCTTGTATTGCAAAAGCAAAACAGAATGATAAGATATCTTGGGGTAATTATCAGTGTTATTTTCTGCATGATTTTTTGGTCATTAAATTAAAAAAGGACAATTATTTTTTTCTTCCTGGGTATTTTGTATCCTTTCTTACAAATTGGAACAATTTTGAAAAAATAAAAACTCCCTTAATGGCTTGATTATCAAATTATTTTTATTTTGAAAATATACTTAATATTTAATTTTTCTTTATTTTCCAAACAGAAAAAACTTTCAATTCTAATCCAGTCTTAATGGAAAGCAACAGCTATGGAAAAGTTACAACAGAGAGCTGGAATTGTTTTTATGCTTTATCTTTTGTTTGCCTATTCTGGAGTCATACAAAAAGTGATAAGCACTGATCAGTTCTCTGATGCAGAAACTTGCCTGGCTACACACACTGACTGTGATGGCTTGGATTTTAGGTCCCAACCATATATTGTGCCTTATGAAGCAAGATGGCAAAAGAGAGAAAAAATGATGAAAAAATATACTTTCAACCATAGCCTTACTGGCATTGATCATCGAAGTGAACTTTCCCAAGAGGAATTTGAGCAGGTCTATGATGGCAAATGGTAAGATAGTTTTACATTTATTTTTAATGAAGAAAACATTTAAAAAGTTGAAAATTATTATCAATTTTCTTTTAAATGATAATACAGATTAACAATGCTGTTAAATATTGCTATTTATTGAGCTTACTGTAGGACAAGGCCATGAGAGTGAGGTAACTACAGATCAAGCACACAAGTAGAGTAAGCTTAGTACTCATAACAAAGTTATTGGTGTGGATTTTACAAAAAAGTAAATCTACACCTGATGGTCAGTGGGAAAGGGAATTGATAAGTTGATGCAAACAGATGAGGTAGCAGTGTTAGTTAATTTGGATTTTACTAGTATACCAGAAGAACCCTGGGGCCAGTTTGTTCTGCTTAAAGTGCACCACTTTGAATTAAAAGCTGGAGAAAATGAGATTTGAACATAAGATGTCGACAAGAAAGAAGTCATGTTTTTGTATGTTTATCTGAGATGAGAAGCTAAAAAAAAGATATCAGCATAAAGAAAATAGAATTATATCAAGGATCTAAATGAACCTCTTTGGTGGGCTATAAGAGAAATGAAATGACTATGAGACAATCCATATGGGACTGGGTAGATAAATGTGAACAAAGATGTCCTTGGGTAAAAAATGATGTATTGCTGTTTATCAATTATTAGTTTTTCCTTCCATAAGATTGACAGAAATATACTGAGATTTGAAAATATATGGACTGATGAAAAAATGAATGCTGGGAAAATTATAATTTGACCCGATGATGTTAATTATGTTAATTAGTTGAAGGAATCTAGTTGGAGACAAAACTAGAATAAATCTACTCTAAAAATGGTAGTAAGAAGTTTTTCAACCAATTGGTACATGAAAATATGGAGGCACCTTTTAAACAAGCCAAATTCGCCATCAGTTTGACATTCCAACCACCTGAAGAAGGCTGGAGAATACAACAGCCAAAACGTGATAAATATGGCAACAAAGATGAGGACAATAGTCTGAATAATGTAAATAGTGTACATAATACATCTCAGAAATATAGACAGATACTGAAATTTGAGTAAGTTTAAAAAATTATAAATTAGGGTTTTTAAAATTAAATTAAGCCCAGCAAAGCTAAGCCCAGTCACACCTCAATATAAGCAGGCTGTTTCTGGCCAGAAGAAAACCAAGTACTGTGTAAATTCCATCACATGGAATTGTGGTAAGGAGTACAAAGGAGAGACTAGACAGCCCATAAAAGTAATGGTACAGGAATACTGAAAACCAGACATCCAAGGAGAGATTTTGAAATAGGGTATGGCTAATCAAATATGGCAGGAAATGGGTTGTCATCAACCCTTATGGAATGAAGTCAAGCTAATAGACAGAGGATAAGATGACAATGATTCAGTGTACATTTTAGGCACTGAGAATCTCTTCAGTATACCAAACATTGAGATAAATGCCATCTCAGAGTCTCTAATTAAGAAAGGAAGGACACTATAACAAAAATTCATCTCCCGAGTCAGGACACTGATACAATCCCACCACTGGAGTACAGACATTAAGTTTAAACTTCCAGAATTTCACCACTGTATTGTTCAAGAGACACATATAGCCTAGTGGATTAAAATATTGGTTAAAACATATCTGGTTCACTCGTAGTTGTGAGTTCATTGGAAGAAATGAACACAAAAATAAATAAGACTAGTAAATATTATTAACTGATATTATATATCCCTTAAGCAAGGAAAAAAAATGAGAACAATCTACCATCCACTCAGGTCTGTCATGTCTTACCCTAAAACCCTGTTTGGTGTGTGTATGAGGGAGTGGGGGACATTTTTGAGGGGCCCGTCATGGCCTCTGACATTTTTTTTTTTTTTTTTTTTTTTTTTTTTCAGCATTATTTTATGGCCATCCACCATTTTTTAAATTATTTTTAAACTGATGTTACATTGTCAGTTATCAACTAATAATATATATTATGTATCTGTATGGCCGGTGTGGTGCATACTATGCAGGAACCCCCAATAAGGTTAGAGCCCCAAAAGGGTTAGTTTCAGCAGCGTTTTTTTTGCTTTTTGTACTTTTTTAATTTTTCTACCTAAGTTATATTATCAATCATCAACTAATAATAATAATTTTCTTTCTGAACAATTCTTTTAAATCAATTTATGGGGGTAATATTGCTGGTTATTACAATGAAAATAATAACATTTTCTCAGATTTTTTTTTTTATTATTATAAAAGTATATTTAATGAATATGTACTAAAATTTTAATTTAAATCGGATAATTCCCTGATTTTTGGTAATTTAAAAAAAAAAGCACTGCTCCACTTTCTTTGAGGGTTTCTAGGTCCCCAGGTTTGGAAACATTGAAATCAATGTGTATAAGAGATGGGGGCCCCCGTATCAAAGTTGTGGGCGGGGTGAGACACTATCATTGACCACGCATCCACCTTGAATTGAAAAGGGTTTGGCTCAAAATTCCAAAATAAAATGACAAAAATATCGATTATAAGTAACAACCAAGATAAGCATGATGATCTGAATAAAAAAGTATATAATAATAACATGTGGAAAATTCTGACAAAAATGGTCTGTGTTGTATTTTTATTAAAGTTATTTGTTTTTACTTTAAAAAACATTATTTAAGTTTTAAGTTTTGTTTTTTTTTAAGTTTCGTTTATGCACTGCAAGGGACATAATTCTTCTTTTGTACGTGAAGTCTTAATAAATTTTCATAATATTGAAGCTAACAGTTAAGTGTCATATAAACAACTTTTTGCTTTATTCTGAATGTTAACTTTTATCTTTTCACCTCATAGAGAAATGGCAATCTATACAAGTTCCTAAGAGGCAAGTAAAAAATTGTTTTGTTCTCAATAAAACTTTTCATTAAAATAATCCTTTTTCCATTTTGTAGATTTGTTTATAAATAACAAAATTGTATTTATATATAATTCAGTAATGATAAAATTATTTCCATTTTCAAATTTTCATTTCATTTTTTTTTTTTTGTCATATGTGTTTCAGGCCGGTTCTTTTGACAGATGTTGTTACCAAATGGCCTGCATTCAGTTGGACTAAGGCATTCTTTGTGGACAATTATGGAGATGAACGAGTGACAGTAAAGATTTGTCAGGTAGGCCCCTGATTTTTCACTCATTCCATTCCACTGGAAATGTTCAATTTGTTTTAGTCAATACTAGTGAATTATATATTTTCTTTGACTTAAGTAGTTTTATATTTTTGATTTGGTTGCTAAAATGTTATATCATTTCAATTCTTCCATGTAGAATTTCTGTCAGCCTTCACCTTCCTTTCCTTTATAAGTAAATAGTCCCAAACAAAATGATATGTAATGCCGCAGTTTTCTTTTCATAGCAATTCTTGAACAGAGTAGAGTCAAATTTCATATGTATTTTGTGCACGTTTTTATAATCCATTTCTATTTTCAGAATGTTTTTCTGATGTTTTAATTTTGTTGAGTATTTTTTTAAGTTTGATAAAAAAATTTGATGATCTGCTATCATTTTATTATACAAAGACTAAGAAACAAGTTAATTCAGGGACCTTGTGTTCATCCTATTGTTTCGTGGTTTAATCTGAAAGTATTGCCACATAAGATTTGTTAATTGGCCTCATGGCTTTGTTAAACTCTAAGCTTCTTGTTGAAGAGATAAGAAAACACACTTTCTACACACTGTTGGATATACACATAGAAAGGCCATGCAATATATTGTGAAGTGTTAAAAACAATAAAGGTGATACTAGTCTGAAAAAATGTGTTGAATAATGAAAATAATCTCAGGATATCAGAAAAGAAGTTGCAATTCAGTCCTTTACAAACTGATCATAGTTGCTTTGGCTGTAACCATTTTCTTGCACACACAAGTCCTTTTCATTTTTGACATGCAATAATTTCAAATGATTTTGAATCCATTTTTCTTTTTCTTTAATGTGTTCATATTTCTTTCTCAGGGAGATGAAACATATGGTTCAGTGGAGGAATTACGTCATATGCTTCCACTTCTCTCCAGTACAGAACTACAACAATGGCTTTACATTGAGGATGAACTTTTCTTCCCTTCTCATCCAGAACTACAAAAGGATTTGGGTAACATTGTAAGTCATATCATTACTATTTCATAGCAAAAAACAAAACAAAATAAAACAACACATTTTTTGTTGGTTTTTAAAATTGTAGTGATATGTAAATGGCTGCCTAATTAGCATAGCTAAGGCATAGAGACTATATAAATGCCCAAGTAGTAAGGATAGAGCAGCTCTTGGTATGCAAGATAAATAACTACTGATAAAATATGAAGGCAATTCTACTTCACAAAAATTTTTTTACATAAAATTGTATGAGTACCAATGGTTAATTGTTCTGGTCATTTCTCTTTTGTTTGTAGCCCTATTTGAAAGAGGACTTCTTTTCTTTGTTTCCAAAAGAAGTGAGGCCCTGGAACAGCATGCTGCTATGGGGAGGTCATCACTCCAAGTCTCCTTTGCACATGGACCCTTACAATTGGACTGGCACCAATTCTGTTTTAAAAGGCAGGAAAAAATGGAAGGCATGTACCACTTGCATTTTATTTCTTTCTCTTTCTCTTTCTATCCATCTACATATAGTAGGATATTGGACATTTTCTTATAGTGTTCTGGTTTGAAAGCTAACCTAGCAGACCATTAATATTGTCATAAGTTCAAGTATCATTACATGTCCCACATATGTGACCTTCTGCGAACCATAACTAACTTTAGTAAATATCTATACTATATTGTGTATATGTTTAAGATTTACTATATTTGTTAAGGAAGTATACTCAATCTTTTCATGTAAGCTTTCGATAAAAAGACCACTGGGAATTTGTAGAAAGTGAGGAAGAGGGAAACTGATTTTGTTCCATTTTTTTTTTTGTTTTGGCCTAATTTTTTTTAATTTACTTGTAGTTCTGACATTAAGTTTGTTTTTAGTATTTTTATTTTATTTTATTACATACCTTCTTCAGTTCTAATGTTTGGCATTTACTTTTTAAAAGGTTTATTAGTTTTAGGTTATTGGTTATTAGTTATTAGTCATTTAGTTTTTGAAATTGTAATGTGGTTATAGGTAGAACAGATGACATTTGTGTTTACGCTTGCAGTTGGAAATGAGATCAGATCTTTTGCTTAGTTTATATTTCCTGGAAATGTGATGATTGCTATTTTCTACTCTAGACAAAGATTACATTGTTTTAAGATTTCATTGTAAACTGGTGTTGTTTTATTTATTTTCCATGTTATTTTTATGTCTTTTGGAGTTTCCATGTGTTTTAAAAGTTTTATGCTATGTGCATATATTTGTTGTTATGTGAGCACAAGGACCTCTTTGGAAGGTTATGGTATTTCTGGACACATTTTTGCTCTGATTCAATCTTTCTTATCAAAGTTAAAAATGAAAATTGTCTGCAATGGCTACTCTTCTAGATCTTTTGCAGGGCTTTATCCTTGGATCCACGTTGTTCCTAATTTTCATCAACGACCTTTCCAATGTCATCAGTTCTCCGCTTGGCATCTATGCTGATGACACAACCATTTACTCATACCTTAATGATAAGTCTGATCAATTTGATAAGGTTAAATTATCAGCTGAACTCAAAAATTACCTACAATCTGTTGTTAACTGTAGCAAGAAATAGTTTGTTAATTTTAATCCTTCCAAAATGAAACTGCTCTCCTTTAATTGTCTTAGAGAACCTTTTTCTTTACTTTCCATCAGCATGTCTGATGCTAACCTTCAGGAGAGTGAATCATTGCACTTTCTTGAGCTAATGTTTTCCAATGATATGAAGTGGAAACACTATATTGAATCAATTGCTAGGTCTGCTGCTAGCAAAGTTGGTTCACTGTGTCATGTTTTTTCTTGCCAGAATCTATCTTACACATTTATAAATCTACCATTCATTGAATATTGCTGTCACATCTGGTCTGGTGCTTTTGCTGTACATTTAGAGATTCATCATAAAATCCAAATAAGAATCTGCAATGTTATTGGTTCTGACCTGACATCTTGGTTTCAGTCACTTTCCCACTATCATAATATAGCATCTCTGTGCCTTTTCTATAGATACTGATGAACTTTCTCTATGTTACCTAGACTTTATGAATTTAAGCGCAGTACTATATTGGCAGCAAGGTCTCATCATTTTACATTGAAATGATTGTAATCATAAGTTTTATGCTAACAGTTTCTTCTCTCACTTTTTAAAATCTCTTTTGGCCATTTGTTTTCCATTCAAATTTGATCTTCAAAAATTTAAATGCAATGACAATCATTATCTTTTGTCTTCTTAATTCCTGTTCATTTATAGTTTTCTCTTCTTAATTATGTTTTTCTTTTTCTCTTATTCTTTCACACTCAGTAACCCTTTGCATCTTAGTGGCTTTATTGCTTTGATTGGGGTGTACTGATTAAAAAAATACATTATTTTTTGGTTTCCTTTGGATTTTACAGTAGCTTGCTATTTGTAGGCAGTTACCATCTCATGGGCATTCAGACTTTGTTCTGTAGTTACAGGTGGTAGTGTTGTGGGTGTTTGTGGTATACTGGCGATTCTTCTGTTGTGTTTTTTATGATTTGTAGAATATTTTCACTGTAGCTATAGCTGAACTTTAGAGTATTTCTGTTGAATATTTTGTACAGTTTGTTTAAGGACAGACACTTAAAGATTTATGAAATACTGATGCACATTTGAAAAAGCATTAAATATAGGCTTATTGATTTCTACAGTATTTTATAGTAACTGGATTAGCAGTCCTCAGGAAAAACCTTAGTGTGCTAAGTTGTCATGATAAAATTACAATGCTGTAGAGTTTGTTTACTGTCTATTACTGATTGATAAGCTTCAAAAGTAAGATTGCTATTTTTTAGCACTCATCAAATCTATTTATGCTGGCACAGTTACAAATTGATACAGTAAGTTGAAAGCATGTGTTAAAAAAGCCCTTGCTATTTTTGATTTATTAAGAAAAAAAAGAAGGTATATAGCAAATTTCACATACTCAAAGTAATCTCATTCAACATCCAGAACCTTTTACTAAAGTGCCCTGGCAGTAAAAATCAGGTGTTTTGGACACAAAGAAGTGACTGCCACTAATCTGCTTCATTTACAAAGGATGGCACAGAGTCTCCCAGGACAAATCATTGTATGGTATCCCTAGCCACCTGTACCATTTGTCAACTAGTCTACCAGCTACAAAGCATGATCTTGCGTGGGTATAGAGGTGGTCTTGTGTGAAGTAAAAGGTTCCTATAGTGGTAACCAATGTCTAGCACACTTGGAAGTGTCATACAGGACACACTTTTCGTCACTGGTAATCACTCGATCATATATAGGTACATTGCAGTGCCAGGAAGGCAACAAGAAACAGGCTGTCATTCATTGTTGCTTGTTGGCTTTCAACAGTGTGTGGTATTTGTACACTTTCCCTATGTGGTGCAGGTGAAGTCTGACTGTTTCATCAGATACTTTCAGGACCTCATCATCCAGGAACTGTGGCCAGCTGCTGCAGGGTTCATCACAACCTGAACTTCTGGAACTAATTCCTGGCAGTGCATTCAACCACAACATTATCTCCAAAGACTTGACGTATTCAGCAATTTGATGTGGATGCAGACAAACCTACTGTAAATTCATAAAATAGACAGCCCCAAACAAGCTGCTACTCCTTGTCCTTGAGAGTGGTCCTGTAGATATTTTCAAAGGAAGAGCATGGTTGGTGGTGAGAAGCTGACCTCAATTTGAATGTGAGGCTGGCAAAGTTCAACCAAAATAAGGCTGACGAACTTACCAGAGTTCCGCAGAGGTGTTTAGATTTGTTAAAGAAGGACACCAAACCTCACCTCTCAGCATTTGGTACAGCCATAGGAGAGTTGGGACCATGCAAAATAATGCGAATACATCAACATAGCAGTCACCCTGGTGTTCAGCACACTACTTACTTTGTCAGGCAAGTTGATCCCTCCGTACCTAGCAAAACTGTCAAGATGGTGATTCAGAAGTGTCCTGAATGTCAGTTCATACATCCAGCACCAGTGCGCTGGCTGAATGGAATAATAGGGGTTTGCAATATGTGGTCCAGGCTGGAGATGGATATTACACATTATGGCCACAGTCATTACCTAACCTTGATTGATTGTGGACCAACATGGTTCTGTGTGTGGCGACCCCTAATGCGACAAGATTCTGAGAGCATTATTTGGCAGTTGGAGTCACTATTTTGTGAAAGAGGTCTGCCATACAAAATCCTTACCAATAACAATACTGTATTCACCAGCGGGTTATTCAAGGCTTTCATGGAGGAATGGGGTGTCCTTTTGGTGTGTGCATGTGCCGTCCAGAAATGTGATAATAGAAAGGTGTTATAGGACCATAAAACGTATTGTGGCATGGAAGCAGTGACTCATACAAGAAGCTGTTTACTGAAGGATGACATCAGACTCAATAAGCCTATATTTAATGCTTTTTCAAATGTGCATTGGTATTTCATAAATCTTTAAGTGTCTGTCCTTAAACAAACTGTACAAAATATTCAACAGAAATACTCTAAAGTTCAGCTATAGCTACAGTGAAAATATTCTACAAATCATAAAAAACACAACAGAAGAATCGCCAGTATACCACAAACACCCACAACACTACCACCTGTAACTACAGAACAAAGTCTGAATGCCCATGAGATGGTAATTGCCTACAAATAGCAAGCTACTGTAAAATCCAAAGGAAACCAAAAAATAATGTATTTTTTTAATCAGTACACCCCAATCAAAGCAATAAAGCCACTAAGATGCAAAGGGTTACTGAGTGTGAAAGAATAAGAGAAAAAGAAAAACATAATTAAGAAGAGAAAACTATAAATGAACAGGAATTAAGACAAAAGATAATGATTGTCATTGCATTTAAATTTTTGAAGATCAAATTTGAATGGAAAATAAATGGCCAAAAGAGATTTTAAAAAGTGAGAGAAGAAACTGTTAGCATAAAACTTGTGATTACAATCATTTCTCGGATATTCAGGCTGGTAAATGTTGTTAATACTGTTTATTATAAACAGAGCTTTTACTTAAATATTTATATCTATAAAAAGAATGTATAAACATAAAAAATGTCTTAAAAAAATAATTGTCAAACTTTGTCCATTTCATAATATATATAATTAATTTGAAGTCAACAGAAACAAAGCATTTTTGTTGTATAAAAACTACAATTTAAATGGATTTTCACTTTTAATATAAAGCATGTATAGTATAAAACAAATTATTTTTTTCCCATTTAATTATTTAAAAATAAAGCTTACTATTAGAAAATATGTAATACGAAATTTTACACCAAAAATTGTATTTATTTATATTATAGACTTCATACATTGAACTACAGTAATCCTTAATTTTCATTGGTGTTTGAAAAATTTATCAAATGTATCTCACCATAGTCTACAAACTTAATAAAATTAATGCAGGAACATTGTAAAAATAACAAACTGTCTTTATTACCTTCTAAAAGTTATAATCCATTAACATGTTTACTTAGTC